GAAAGATGGTTTAAAGAAAAAAATCAAGGTTGGGGTAGGGTTGAAACCTAAACACGTTCCGAAGGGTCTCTCAATAACAGGCTTTAAAATGGCTCTTTGCCTGTTTAGGGTGCCTTCTAACTTTCTGGATCATGAGGAATTGAACAATTGTTCTAAACTTTGAAATGATCCACGCATATTCCAAGCAAAGGCCTCCTCGGCTTTATTCAAACCTAAGGCTCTGCTGCAGTTGGGAAACATTGGGCCTTCTCCAGAGTATTGTGAAGACAAATAAAGGAGAATATTCGTAGCCCAGGATTGATATGAGGGATCCTTGGTCCTCTCTGAGCTGGTTTGTTTTCTTGCAGACATTTCATGACCCAACTAGGTAACATCATCAGTGCTGGTAAGGAGCGGGCTTTGCTCTCAAATTATATTCTGTTGGCTTGCCTGTCACTATTGTGGTGGTGGGGGTCTTCATTTGGTTGGGCTGTTTACTGTTGGCTCTTGGGCAGTTTCTTGATACCCCAATCAAAAAAACCTGCCAAATTGCCCACAGTAAACAACTCAACCAAAGAATCTCTTAAGATCATCCCCAGCAATACTGATAGGGCAAACCATGAGTGTGACCCGACAAATGTGCACACGACAAAAGCGCGCTGAGAAAACCACGGCGAGAAAACCCCGACGTCATAAACGCGCCCACAACAATGCGCCGACAAAACCGTGCCCACAAAAGCACAATTTAAGTTAAGGTAAGGGTTAGGTTCAGGGTTAGGATTAGGGTTATTAGTTGTTTGTTGAAGGCAAACTTTTGTCGGCGTGCTGTTGTCGGCGCGCTTCTGCGCGCATTCATCGGCGCGATTTTGACCTCACGGTTTTCTCGCCGTGGTTTCGTCGGCACACTTTTGTCGAGCGCGCATTTGTCGGTGAACCAACCACGAGAATATAAACCGACAGCAAACCGCATTCCTTACTAGCACGAATGATGTTACTTAGTTTGGGTAATGAAACAGCTGAAAGAAAACAACCCAGGTCAGAGAGCACCAAGGACCCCCTCATATTTTGAAGACTGATGCTGTACCAAACAATATACTCGTTAGCTGCAGCCATTCTTACCCTCACCAACATTGTCCTCTGCCTTGATTACTTTGCAATGAAGCATAGGAAGAAAAAAAAAAGGGGGGGGGAAGGAAACTCTCGTTTTGCTGCTGTTTCATATTTACGTCCGCAACTGCGTAAATGTGCAGATTGCGACCGGGCAATGGGACTGGCCACCTGGAGTGTGGTCCCGATGCCAAGTTTTCAAAGAAGAGGTAGGAATCATGTACTTTTTCGGGGCAAGCAACAGGATGTGCAAATATTGCGAAATCACCGTCGGGTGATTTCCTAGCCATACAGTAGCTGAAGCAAATGGTGCTTTGAGGGATTGAAATGCTATTGCAAAGTAGCCATTGTAACCTGGTAGGGGGGGGGGGGCTTTTTCGTGCCCACTTGTCTGCGGGATGGCTTAAGAGTGGAGTAACCCCCAAATACCAAAACTCCCAAGTGGGCAAGGATGGCCTGACCAAGGAATACAACTTTTCTCAATTTTTGATAGGTCTAGCTTTTTCCCCTCCACGATTAAATGATTTTTCTTATGCTCCAACAGTTCCGAAAATGGCACAGCAGCCAGCTCTGTGTACTTTCTTCCTTCATGACCACATAAAGGAGAAGAAGAAGAAGAAGAAAACCTTGCAGGAAAGCAAAGAAAATTCTAGAAATACAGGATTTCCTCCCAGTATATGTAAACCACGCAAGATACCAGTGTTTTTAAACTCTGTTATCAGCTTAAAACATCAGCAACACTGGCACAAATATGTCACTTATTCTTGGTTTAATTACAGGGCTGACAAATAAACACCAACACAAGGGAAGGGGGGAAAATCCAGTATTTTTTGGGGGGTGGGGGAAGCAAAAGGTGCAAGCTAATGTTTTGCAGTGGAGTCTCGGGGATAGAACTCTGCCAAAGTACTCTGAGGAATCCTCTTCAGCATCTCCTTGGGGAAAATACGTAGCAGCTGCCAGCCAATGTCCAGCGTTTCATAAACAGTACGGTTTTCATAGGGCCCTAAAATGATAACAGAGAACAGGGTCACACGCTGAGATCAAAATGAAACAGCAACACTGTCCCCTTGCCATCCGAGACTCAGCTTCATCTAGTGGTTAAGGCACCGGGCTAGAAACCAGGAGCCTGTGAGTTCTAGTGCCACCTTAGAAGTGAAAACTGCCTAAACTGTCTGTTATGCATGAAAGCTTATAATAAAAAATTAAATCAAATTTAGCTAAAAATAATGTATATATATATGTACTGGTTTGATAAAAGGAAATTGGATATAAATTGCAAATGGTGACTACGAAAGGAAGTTTAGAAAGTCTGTTATGTATGAAAGCTTATAATAAAAAAATTAAGTCAAATTTAGCTAAAAATAATGTATATATATGTACTGGTTTGATAAGAGGAAATTGGATATAAATTGCAAATGGTAACTACAAAAAGGAAGTTTAGAAATTCTGTTATGTATGAAAGCTTATAATAAAAATTTAGTCAAATTTAGTTACATTTAGAGCATTATGTAAAAAAATGAAGTGATAATGGATATAGTTAGATAAATAATTGATAATGATAACAATGAATACATATGTATTGGTTTGATAAGAGGAAATTTGATATAAATTGCAAATGGTGACTACGAAAGGAAGTTTAGAAATTCTGTTATGTATGAAAGCTTATAATAAAAAAATTAAGTCAAATTTAGTTAAAAATAATGCATATATATGTATTGGTTTGATAAAAGTAAATTTGATATAAATTGTAAACAATGATTAAGAAAGG